ACATGTGCCTGGCGAACAAGGCTATTCAGGAGTTTCTTGAACGCCGCGATGCGGTTGACGGTCTCTGTCAGAGGTGACCCGTCAGCTGGAGCAGGCGTTGCTTGAGCTTTGTTCCGCTCTATCACCGCCGCCGACGCCTTCTCAATATCGCTCAAAAACTCCGACAAACTACTGTATCGGTCTGACGCCACCCTTGCTTGAATGCTCGAACCCTCGTCTTTATCACCGGACACCTTTGCGCGTTTCGAACGTGGTTTTGCCGGCGACGACGGTAAAGGACAGGATAGGAGATGCAAATCGGCATCGCTCCTGACATGGGTTAGTGGGAAGCAGTCACGATTTAGTGGTGACGCGGAGTGCTCACTTGCTTAAAATGTCCACCAAATTGCGTAGCGTTTCCTGTAATTTTGCCTTTTCTTGCGATTGCGCCGCAGAAGCGCTAGCGTCTTGGACGGCCTTCTCGTCGTGACTCGCGACACGCTTTCGCTTGCCTGGAGTCGCCAGGACAGATGGTTCGGGCGTATTTTGCGACTGGTCGCCATTCGTGACCGGCATCGGGGCCGTCCCTCCGCCTTCGTCTGCACTCATGGCTTGGGGTCGCGCCGTTCTCGAACTCTTCTTTGACGCGAGTACAAAATGGCCTCGATTATTCCTTTTTTTGCGAAGCCGTTCAGGAAGGTCCAACAGGCGACAGAGTGTGACAGCGAACACACAATCGGCCAAAAATTAATGGGAGACAAATGGAATGAAGGGATATGATTCGAGAGAGGCGGAAAATAGTCGTCGGTGATTGAGTGTTCCTTGTTCTCCGAAGCGGATGCGCCAATAGTTACGAGGCTCGATCGAGAAGCGGTACGCTGCAGCTAGGGAGGATTAGATCGCGACGCACACGGCAATGTCACAACGACAGTAGATTGACACGGAGTAACAAGCTCCTTGACGCCACAAAAGCAAGCGGGTTCAGGGCAAGTCAGGGCGCAGAGCTGAAAGGACGCAAGACGGACTCCATCTCCAGGCGGGAGAGTAGCGAGATCCTCCTGCGCGCCATGCCAGAACCGCAACTCGTGACGATCAGTCACGTGACCAAGCTTTTTTCCCCAATCGCCGGGACGCTCCATGCGGCCGCTGCTCTTGTTACTTGTCGACTACCAGGGACAAGCGACATCACGTCCGGGATTGACTGTGCTGTGGCTACTCAATGTCCTCTCTTCATGGATGTCATCGGTCTTAAGTCATGTGTCGAGCCGCTCGAGGGTTTCCTCTCTGAGAGCGGCGCATTTGTCCAACAGCACTGTTTGGCGGAAGGTATCGCGGAATCAATCTTGTCTTTCGTTTTGTTCATTATACTGACTCTGGAATTGTTCCGATAGGGATTTCTCTACTATAGCTTTCTCCAATCCACAACGGGTCCGACGACGAAAGTCTGCCATGGCGGTCTCCAAACCTCTCGTTCGTTTCGGCTCTTAAGCGTACTCGGAGGCCCGGACCATCTCCGGTCTGGATACGTCCAAAATCAGCAATTGGCGACGGAACAGTCAGACACTAAAGGCGATGGTAGTCCCGGTAATGACTGGTTTAAGTTACGTCTCCAACCCCCGCTAAGTCAGTCCTACAATGTTTCGGGTGCGGGCCCGGACTTGCCCGGCCTGAGAGCTGTAGACGTCAGAGAGTCAGGGGGAGAACTGAGAGATGAAGCTGTACTTCAAAAGGATGGTGAAGATGGTGATATACATGTCAATCAGGAAACCGAGATTGTGGAGGAAAGCAAGGCTTTGGGAGAAGGTGGAGGCCGAGAACAGAGCGCGAGCCAGCCCGACAGCACAGACGTCCATTCCAAGCCTCTTCGCTTGACTAGACACACAGAACCATTGTCGGATGGACCAGGAAGACATAAACACCTACGGCCGGAGAACAAAATGCCCAACTCACGCAAACGAACCAAGAGAAGCGATTCACACCCTGGGCCAACTCCTACGGAGTACCTTATTGACACCTTGCAAAGAGTGCATCAGTCTCATGGCGCGGAAAGCTGCAGCTGGGTTTACAATACCAAGAACACTGGAATCATGACCTCTCTAACACAAAGGCAACGGGACAATTTCAAACGCTACCACCGGCTTTCATTACAGAGAATTGTCGCTGATTACATAGAGCTGTTGGATCCCCTTTCGGATCAAGCAAACTCGGGCATGGAGTCTGATTCACCACTGGAATCGGAAGCCCTGCAATCAGTTTTCAGCGAAGATAACCTCAACTACCTCGCAGCCCGACAGTACTCCGCCGCTGATGTGGTGGCATGGGCATGGGTTCTCAAGAGCAGCACACCTTATGAAGCCATTCTTCGAGTTCTACTCTTAGAAGCAGATCGAAGCTCAAGTCCCGATTGCTCGATCAAGATGGTGCCCCCTTTCATTCCCCTCCTTCTCCTGCGTCAGAGTCTGGACGCTAAGGCTTTCCGACTGCTTTTGGTTTATTCGTTGCACCTTTTGGGCGGACGAGCTCTTCCGACACCCGGCATGGCGATGGAAGCGATGACCGATGATGTAGAGCTTGTCCAGCAGGATGTGCTCGCGAAGCCACTGATAGAACCCAACATGTGCGTGACTTATGTGATTCGGTTACTTCATCACGCTCGCGAGCTATGGCCACAGGCCCAGCTTACTATTGCTCGCGCCTTTGCGTTTTATCTGGATAGTCTTGAGAGCGAAGGCAAAGGTTGGACGGTCGCGACAGAACGAATCAATCAGTTTATGGCCGACAAGTTCAATACCGTGCTTCGAATACTTTCCTTACCCTGCAGACACAACCCGTTTACGTCCGCCTCCCTGCAGCAACAAGCGCAATTTGAGCTTCTTCGAGCCATGGCGCGACACCAACCTGCTTTGCCGGTGACACGTCGTGGATACCAGGGTATTGTCGCGGTTCAAATTGCTCATAAGAAGACACTGGCAGAACGGCAATCTGCGGAACTGAAAGCTCCGTCGTGGCCCCCTTGGAAGGAAGACAAGATAGGGTTCGATGTCAAGCGGGGTGTTGAGGGCATGAAAAGCCGCGCAATGCGGGTACTGTCACAAATGAAAGAGGCGGGCTATTCGCAATCTCGCTGGGAAGAGGTATCTAGTATCCTAGCAGGCTGGGACACAGACAAAAGCCCAACAATTCAGACGAGATCATTAGTACCTCGCCCGGAGACTGTACAAGGGCCTTCCGGGGATCCCAAACACCACGCCATTTGGGTAGCTCGGATCCGGGCTACGAGGACGGTGCGGGAAGCCTGGGCATGCTTCCTCTCCTACCGCGACCAGGGACTGCCTCCACGTGGTGCCATTTACGCTGCCATGGCTGAGAAATTGATCTTCCGACAAAAGAGAGCCCGCAATAACTCTCATCAAAGCAGTCAAGCACTACCAGGTGACGGAAAAGAGGTCTTCGCGGAGCCGTCATCTGTCCGAGATTGGATCTATGTCTCTACGGAACCGCCCACATTAGATGATTTTCTTCGTGAAATGCTCTCGCAGGGTATCCGGCCCCGGGGAAGATTCCTAGCTTTGCTTCTGCGCAATGCACCGACCTTCGGATCAGGTTTAGACTACCTTTGTTGCAGTGACTTGACAAAGGAGCAGTTAGAGGATTTATGCACCGTGTCAGGTCAAGGATGGGGCGAACAAGCTCAGGCGAACAAAACATTGAACAGTTTTCCTGACTACCTCATCTCATCCTTCGTCGCGTTCCTGTGCAATTTCTCGACTGTCGGGCATCATAGCACGGCACACTGTGAAAGTTCTGTGGGAGATATGTTCCCGATACTCCTGGGCCGCCATTCAACTAATCCTTCGTACTCGACTACGCTTTTTGCATACTCCGAAGAGTTGAAGACAAGCGAGGATCTTCGTCACCCGAAAATTCTAGCGCATGCACTTAGTCTTCTCCAGGCGCAACAGTCGCGTTCCCCTCAGGCGTGGATTCCAGTCATGTCTGCCCTGGCCCGAGACCGCGTTGGGTCCACTTCTCATAGACTGGGACGGCACGCACGGTTGGTACTATCCTGGTACGAGGTCTTGGAGCTCACAGCGTGGATGGATAAGCGTCAAATCGAGCCTAGCTTGGAAGCGTTCCAGGTTCTCTGCTACAGCTTTTCACGGGTAGTGGTGGCGGGAATCAAAGAGCCCGACGCGGTGGAAGAAGGGCTTGTTATCGTCAGCGAACTGGCACGGCGAGGGCGACTGACCGGCATGAATCATGCTTCGACACGCTTCGAGGATATGGTGCAGAGTGGGCTCAACATCCTCAAATCCCGGTTTGATGAGCTGGTTCTCCTTGACCCCAAGACTTCTTCCCTGTTCGAGCGAAGTAGATCGTCAATCCAGCATGCCACTGCTTCTCAAGTGACCGTGCCATCTTTGGTTCACGTTCCCTCTCCCGCAGTTCTTCACTCCTTTGTGCGGGCGTTGGGCTTAGCCGAGGACACTGACGGCCTGCTGAGTCTACTTCGCTGGATGCGGCAGTACGAGACTACACTGAAGGAGAAGTATGACGAGAACCTGAATGGCGAGAAGATGATGCGGCGGATCATCGTCGCCGTCCGCATGTTTCTGGAGGGATACTGGGGAAGGTCACCCCAGGCGTTCCGGGAGTGGGAGCCGTCCATGGAACACACACATGATGTGCACATGCACAACGACTCCGAAGCTGACTCCGCGACATTCTCCGACGCCAGCCTGCAGGAGGCATATGATATCATCACTACTTCGCAAGTCTGGGGTTCATGGCCGAGTGATGAGGAGGTCTTGGATTATATAGCTCACGGGGAGCAAGGATCTCGCGAGGCCGGCGATCGATATAGGCATGCTGTACATTAGTGTAAATAGAACTGTAAAATAGAGCGAATTAATTATATTATTTCTATCAAGCGCTTATCCGCGGCTTCCCCGCAGCCGCCCGGCTTTCCCCACAGCGGCCCTCAAGCACTGCTCAATTCTCCTCAACCCGAGCTCAGAGCTCACAGCTTGTCCATCCTCATCATCCCTTGCTAAATAACTATACCCTTCACTCCTAAAATAACAACAATGCCTCCACGTCTCTCTATATATACTCCGTTACGATCCACTTTCTCCTACCGCGTCACGGTCGCCAGATTTAGCACGAGCAGCGACAATGCCGTCATCCAGACCCAGCACGTTCCCGCCCCAGGGTCGGGGAACATTCGCGTCCTGCTTTTGAACCGGCCCAAGGCACGCAACGCAATCTCTCGCGATCTCCTCGACGGGCTTGCCAGGAATGTTAAATCTATTGCCGCTGAAGGAGGCTCAGGGCCAACGCGTGCCCTGGTCATCGGCAGCAACGTCGACTCGGCCTTCTGCGCGGGCGCAGATCTCAAGGAACGCGCGGGCATGAGCCGGGAAGAGTACGCGGCCCTCCAGTTCCCCAAACTCCATTACAAACTACTGACCGTTGCAATTGCCATGGCTTAGAACAGCCGAATTCTTATACAATCTGCGAAGCACCTTCCGCAACCTCTCGGAGCTCCCCATTCCCACCATCTCCGCCGTTTCCTCTATGGCGCTGGGCGGCGGCCTTGAACTTGCTCTAAGCACACATCTTCGCGTCTTCGGCTCCTCGTGTATGGTCGGACTTCCCGAGACAAGGTTGGCCATTATCCCTGGGGCTGGAGGTACCTATCGCCTCCCCAATCTGATTGGCGTGAACCGTGCACGGGACCTTATTCTCACTGGACGGCGCGTATCCGGCCCGGAGTCGTATTTCATCGGCCTATGCGATCGGCTTGTGGAGGTGCTCCCGGAAGAGGAAGGAAAGGAGGGTGTGGCGAGGGAGAAGGTCCTCACGGAAAGTATCAAGCTGGCGCTGGAGATCTGTGAGGGCGGGCCAATTGCCATCAAGCAGGCCTTGAAGGCTGTGAGTGAGTATCAACGGGGCGAGGAGGCTGAAAATGAGGCGTACGACGGCGTGATGGGCACTGAAGATCGGTTTGAGGCTCTCAGGGCGTTCGCGGAAAAGCGGAAGCCCGTCTTCAGGGGGCGATGAAAGAGTCATCTGGAAGTTTGTGTTGCCCCATTATGGATGTAAGCTGAGGGACGACCAGGGATTCTTGTGACTCAGGTTGGACGGGTCGGAGTGCTGAAGGATTCTAGAACCAGTTCTTTGTGAGTCAATGTATTGTGTAGCTTTTGATTAGTACCTGGGTGCCCTGGACACGGAAACTGTACTTATTTTGGTAGTAGTATCAAGGTACCAGGGCCGAAGCTACAGGCAAAAACATGCTTGCCTGCCATAGAGGCCTAAGCTTGAAAATCCAGACATCGTCTGAGATTGGTAATTCTAATTGTTGAGAGTAAATCAGGGACATACATTCAATAAGGCAATGCAACAAATGGCATTGTTTCCCACCCTATCCCTCATGATCTCACTACACAATTGCCACAACATAACTACTTAGCACAACCAGCTCGCAAACATCCTCAAAACACTTCCATGTTTCATGTTTAAACCCATACCTCCGACCACCAGCCACAAAGCCAGCCACAGGAAAAGCTATACGAACCATCTAACACCACTTCCATAACATGCTCAGTACGTAGAGCCAACAAGATTAGAAATAAGTCAGAAGCAGTTACACAAAACTCTGACTCACCTGGAAATATTCTCACTGACGCATCTCGGATAAAGAGTTCCAGACCCATCCCAGGATATTGAATCCGCGGGCACGAAATGTTCGTCATGGATGTACGTATCACCCATCCTCATCATCCATCATCCATCAGCCTAGCTAGCTACCTAGAAAGGTCTACAATAGGTTGCCGATCGGGAAGGGAGAATACGTTAGGTAGTTGAACCCTGGATCCATCCGCGGCTGTTGGACCCGCTTGATCCACTGGCAGCTTTCTTTTCACGGCTTTGACTGTTTTGTGCTACATCTATCTGAATTGAAAGGATATTGTGTGCTCTTTTAGATCAGATACACACTTTAACTTGGAGTGACATCTATTAAGTCCACTATGAATAACACGTAGTAACACAGAATTCTAGCTAGTCCCAGGCAGCCGCCATTCGCAAGCATCCTGAGGCTCGAAAAAGCAAAGCGAAGCAAAAGCCTCAGCCTCGTACTTCAGATTCATTCCATCCTGTTCGTATCGCATTGAAAATGAAGAGGCCACGGTAACCAACTACTACTATGTATAACTCTTCAGGAACTACAATAAATGTAAGTAGGTACATGTAAGCAATACATACATACAGACATACATACACACGTGCAGCCCAGAGCACAGCCCTGCGCAGGGCAACGCAGATCGACAGGCAAATCCTCCGGGCAGCAGCAGCAGCAGCTAATGAAGGAACATATTCGAACACTGAAGAAAACTTAGGTACTTTTTGAAGAGTAGTAATTAATGTCGCACCACAAGTCGCATAGGGCTCAGTGGGTGATTGAATTCAGCCTGATGGACTGCCTATTCTATTCTAGTCAAACTAAACCTGATTGAACTAAAGTCATCCTTCTTGCCCAGGCTGCAGAAACTAAGTTTAGGACTAGGCCGTGTTCGGGCGTCAGAGCTCACAGCCACTTCAGGGGATGATGCGGTTTCAGTTTAGTAAAGTTTTGGTATTTCTTGGGAGAGGTTTGACAGTATCTGTGCTTGAATAACATAGTAGATGGGGAAATACATGGGCGGTTCTAGATTGTATGCGAGATGGGATGATAATATCATCTACGTTGCAGATGCGGGATAGAATGGGCTGGACGTCGAGACCCTTTTTTCTTACTTTCTTAATTTAGTTGATGTTAGAATATAATAGAACGAATATACCAGTCAAGTCAGGATGCAAGTTCCCCCGCGATCTGCAGGTGAGCTTCGATCTTCCTGGTCAGCGAGGCGGGCGGCATGACCTCTAGTTGGTCAGCCCCCCTGATGTCCACGGGAACCTTGACTGCTACTTCCCTCAGCACATCCTCCGGATACAGAAAATAGATGTAGCAAAATGGATAATTGACTAACTTCGAGACGGAAAAAAAAGAAATAAGAATTCCATTAATTGATTGAGTAATTAATTCACTCTGCTTATGGTTCCGGGCCTGCTGCTGTTGCTCGCTGCGTACTGTAGCTTGTGCCCTGCAGAACTAGTAACTGCACTGCACTAAACTAAACAGTTGAACCACAGGCACCAGGCACCCCCTCCACCTCCAGTTTGCCCCAGTCATCTGCGAGCCTCATGCTCTCTGTTTCTCACGCTGTCTCGCGCCTTTGCCTACTTTGGCCCCCCCACTGCCGCCCACTCACTCTCTCTGCAAGTAATACTCGTCGCCGCATAAATACCTTTCTTTCAGCTGCCCCGTTGATTCTTTTTCTTCAGTGACTCAACTGACCTGTTGTTCTTCCCCCCCCTTTTCCATCCTTCAAGCCGCTTTTTCTTTTTATAAAACTGTCTTCCTAGCTCCACTTGTTCGTTGGAACCGACAGAGCTTCTTTCGTGCATGGTCGCAATCGTCTCGTTCTAGCCTTCCTTTTCAGGAAATCTTGCTGCGTGGATGTAAGGAATAAGCTACCCCACGCTCCGCTTTATGTCCTCTGTCTGGTAGTCTGGCTGACTCGCATCTCCTTTTAATCGCCATCAGCTACGGTCGACGTCCAGTTGTGGGCAGTTCGAGCCATGTCGGACCTTGCCTCGCGCGTGAAGCAGTACGGGTTGACCCAGGTCTACTGTAGCCCCGAAAAGCCTCTGGTCGACATCGTGTTTGTTCATGGACTGAATGGCCACCCCTACAACACCTGGGCCTCAAGTAACGGCACCTTTTGGCCAGCCGATCTTTTGCCTGAAATTCTTGGTCCGAACCGAGTAAGGATCTTGACTTATGGTTATAACGCGAATGTAACTGCCTTCACCGACGGCGCGTCGAAAGACAGAATCCATAATCATGCCGAAACCCTGGCGTCGGGATTGGCCGCCAACCGCAATGTAAGTGGTCGTTTGTGATCCGCGTCCATTGTTCCTCCTTCTTGGAGAAAGGTGACTAATTGACTTTTCTAGCTTCGAAGCTGTTCTGACAGACCGATCATCTTCGTCTGCCACTCGCTCGGTGGTCTCGTCGTCAAGCGCACACTGATATACTGCCGAAATGTGTCAAATGAAAAGATCGAGCACCTGCGATCCATCTATGTCTCCACCTACGGGATCCTGTTCCTAGGAACGCCGCACAACGGTTCGGACGTTGCCAAATGGGGTCTGCTATTGCAGAATATCTGTAGTGTCGTTATGCCGAAGAAGTTCATGGAGTCGTCTCCTCATCTGGTAAAGGCTCTGAAGACTAACAACGAGACGCTTCAGAACATCAACAGCCTCTTCGCCGACATAACCAGCCGGTTCCACATTTACTTCTTCCACGAGACACTGTCGAGTGATGTCAAAGGGACACGCGAGTTGATCGTGGACGAAAGTTCCGCCGCACCCTACGCTGAAGGTGTCGAACGTATGGGCATCGAAGCTGATCACAGACACATGTGCAAGTTCGATGATGATAACTCTCCTGGCTATGAAGCGGTTGCTGAGGCGCTGTTGCGGTACTCGCGTGATGCCCCGAACACTATCGCAGACCGCTGGGTCGAAGAGGACAAGACCCGTCGTGTTCAGAAGCAAACAAAGATCAGGGAGATATTCAGCCATGGCATGTAGAGCCCCTTTTCCCTCTCAAGACAAGCACTAACGGATGTAGATCGGATTGAGCCGGAGCAGTTGGGGAGGAGTGTTCCAGATCTTCGCACAATTGGTAGGACACCTCTGCTTTCTGATCATTCATCTTCTGTCACCCTGCGCGAGTACGAGATTGAGGAGCCCCCGGAGTCATCAGTTCATCATAGCAGGCATGCTTAGCCGGTGCTTTGCGGGTGTGAATGGTGATCAGCATTGAAGGAACTGCCAAAAAGCACAAAATCGGCGAAACACCTCATGTCCCCTTTTCAGTAACTTATGTGTTTGCATTTTTCTCATTCCTGTTATGCTCTGCTTGATTTCTCGCAAGTTCTCTGAGACGTATGGTGGTTCATGATCTGCCTTTTATGCTATGATACCTGCTTCCTGTACTTTAGTGTTGCTTTCCTATCAACAAATTGTCAAGTCAGATAAGGCTGACTCTTTCCTTCTTAGGTAGTTCTGAATTGGCCCTGCCGGCTGAGAGAAGAAGATCCCTTGTGTCTGATCTCGGCGATAGCATCAACTTGTCCCTATCACAGACCCTCCCAAAGGACCCTTTGTTCGTGGTGCCTCCCGGCTTTCACCCAAACGCAAGTTTTGTAGGGATGAAGGCCCATCTTGACCAATTGCACACCAGGCTGTACAAAGCCAAAAAGAGAGCAGAGCGGCTCGTGGCTGTACTCATCTGCGGAGGCCCAGGGACAGGCAAGTCGCATCTTGCACGCCAGTATGTTTGGACTCATAGAGCCTTCTATCCTGGCGGAGTCTTCTGGGTCGACGCAAAGTCCCGCCAATCAACCTTCAAATGCTTCTGGGATATCGCACAGGCTGCCGCGCTGAACGAGGGAGAGGTATTCGAATATCCAGACACTAATACGTCACAGAAGTATGTCGATTCGGTGCGAAACTGGCTGCAAGCTCGCGAAGAATGGCTTCTGGTGTTCGATGGGGTAAGCTTCGGTCAAGACAGTGATCTTAATGACTTCAAGCAATTCTTGCCGTTTAATAAGAAGTGTAGCATTATCTACACCTCGGTCGATAAGACACTGAGGAAAAAGCAGCGCCTGTATGAGCCGTTCTGCCTCTCAGTCAAGCCTCTAGAGGTTACAGAAGCCTGCAAATTACTCTTCGAAGACCTTGGCATCAGGAGACCCACCAAGGGGCAAATCCACAAAGCCACTGCGCTTGTCGAGCATTATGAATGCCTTCCTCTGGCAATACATGCCATCAGTCATCGGCTGGCAGCAACATCGAAGCCAATTGAGAGGTACCACATCAACTCTCATTTAACCGACGAGAAGCTGGCAGAGCCTTTTCTAAGCATCATGCACGACCTCTATCGCACGGAGCACTTTGAGGCCCTGAATTTGATCAACCTTGTATCCTTCTTCAGTCATCATGTCCCCGTCGGCCTTATAACACTCGGAATTTCCGCACTCGGCAGATGGAATGTTGACATTCTAACAAGCAGTAGACCCGGTGAGAGAGGCGACATCGACACCACTCTTGGGGTCCTCATTAGATACGGACTGATTGAGAGGGTGTCGGACGCTTATGCACTGCACGCAAAAGCTCTCTCGCCCCAGCTTGAAAAAGATAATGTTCTAGACATGAAGTCTGTGGCCCCTGACTTATCGGAGTCGCAGACAGAAAGTAGCCAGGATGCGTTCTTTTCGGTTTATCAAAATTCAGGCGCGGGGACGATCGATATGATCAAGACCCACAGTGTTGTCCAAGGTTTCTGCAGAGATGAGCTCAAGATCATGGACCGGGAAGAGAAGCGATGCAATGCACAGGCGGGAAAGTCTGAGGCTGGTTTCTATGACTCGTGGCTGGTTGTCGCTACCCATGTTCTTTGCACATCGTACGAAAGTGCAAAGGCCCGAATGGACCGTATTGATGACTGCGGAATGGTCAAAGACTACCGGGAATATGAAACGCAGGCTTTTAGACTGATCGAAAACTGGCCCAGAAGAAGCCAGAATGAACCTGCAGTACTTCGTGAGGCTCGTGATGATCTGAAGCGAATCATGAAGAGTATTTCCAGCGAAATCGAGAGAATCTCGCCCAGCTCCTCGCAAGAATCGGTCCGCAAACAGAGATCAGTCTTTGATCGGTCAAGCAGCTCTTCGTCGTCAGTACCTGAATCAGCAGCCGAGGAGGGACGTTGGGATTGGAGCGACATGACGCCTCCCAAAGTAGAATCGCCACAAGAAATGCCAAGATCTCAGCAACGCTTCAACCTCAAGCCATTCTTGCCCCATATTTTCAGGGAATCCAGCCTGGACAGAGACGGTGGATACGAGAGTGACAGAGAAAGCACCAATGCTCCGATCCGTACCTCACCAGCGCTTTCACAACTGAGTCAGCAAGCAGAGACGCCCAAGTCATCGCTGACGTCCAGTTCTTCGCCGCCTATCGACGATCACGGCTGGCACATGGTCGTAAAGAAGCATTCGAAAACTAGGATAAGAAAGGATGAAAGATCAGTGCAGCGGCCGAGGTTTCCCCGTAACATCAGAGGCTCCCAGCCGGCAGCTCCAGTCTTGAAAATATTTCCTGTCGAGGGGAGAAGCGCTTCCAGCAGCACATTGGGTAAAAGTCGGAGAAGCTCGTTTGCCTCCGCGTCAGAGGCACTCACAGCTGTGCAACACTCCAGTCCTCCGCACTCCCATGAGGATATCACAGCCATCACGAAGCGAGCTACTGGTCGGTCATCTTTGGAAAAGGAGAATAACCCAACCTATGCCACGGTGGCAGCCAGGCATACTCAGGATGGAGAGTTGCCCTCAAAGAAGCGATCATCGTCAACACCAGGAGGCAATGGTAGACCGGCGCTTCTGTCACTGCAGAACAAATCATCGGGCGAGTCGCTGCAGAGTCGTTCTAGCAATGCACATCCATCGCCCCTTTCAGCAGAGTTCAAGCCTGATCGTATGACCCAGTCAACCTATAGCGAGCCAGATCAAGGATACCTGCAACATCAGCTCAATGCCCTAGATCTGGGGATAGCACAAGAGTCTCAGTACCGGACCCGTCACTTGTCTACTGTGCGATCAATAGCACCTCCGGTGGGTGACATGTCCGCCAGTACACCGTCGATCTTAACGTATATCCCTCCACCCCCTCCACTGCCATATGAAGGGAATATCGAGGTTACGGTACCACGACGTGCGGGTGTGGCCCAACCAAGCTCCATGGGACCATCACCGAGTCAGACGAGGCCAGTCGCTCACCCATCTGCATTCATGCCAGGAATCTCACCCCCGAGCTCTCTCGCTGCCGACCCCCTTCTTGGGTATTCCTCGGAGCCAGCTCCGGAGCCGATGTCGCGAAACCAATCCGCGCAGTCTCACCAGTCCTGGTCAACTGAGCCGATTCGGTATCCGCCGCGCTTCTCTCCACTTCCAACTACAACGCCCGCGCAGTCTGCCATAGCTAGTGGCGTTCCGCAAGTCATGCCGCCTCAGCACACACTATCCGGGACAGGAAGCTGGGTTGCGGAAATGCCACAACAGGGGCAGCCACCACCGGTGGTAAGTCCTCGTCAGCCAGAGGTAGCTTACGCCGCACAAGCACAAATCCGACCGATCAATACACTGGATGGCCAGGTCGCTGCTATGGACCCTTTATGGGCGGCCGAGCCCGCGTCGTCACTGCATTTCGGGGCTCACCGTGTGGATGTGCGTGACGCCCGGCAGCGGCTGGGTGGACGTGTTCACTATCCCGCACACCTGCCACCGGCAATTCCAGGGTATCCCATGTACCACCCGAATTTGTCTGGGCCCTTGATCCCGCACGAGATGGCAATTCCAGTGGCGGAGTCCCACGGACTGCGAGCGCGGAGCGGCAGCTCACCCCCTCGCCCTGACTTTGACGGATTTAGCATGAGTCAATGATCGATGAGACAGAAACGGGTTTTCTGTGTGTAAAATCAAAAACACATACAAGCATAAGGATGCAGGTGAAGCAATGAAAAGGGCAAACTGAAGAAAGGGGAAACCATATAAAAAAAAATTGAAAGTGACGAACCATGATGATAATGATGTGACGGATTAATTAGGGGACAGCACAAGCACCTGGTGTTTCGGAGTTCTGTTCAGGATTTTATGGCCATGCATTCTTGGAGCAGGAGATTAGGAAGAAGGGTGATAGCATCTAGAGGTGTTGGTAGAAGAAGGATATCACAATACAGGTGGGAGCATTGCATTGGCGTTTGTTAGTGTTAATCGGATAACGCGACTTAACAACTGAATCTCTGTCTGAGTTTTTCGTCACATTTTTTTTGTTCATTCCCGTGATCCTTGAGGAGACTGATCAGGGCTTCAGCATGCTCTTGCATGAGATAGTACCCGCTGGCTGTTGCGCTATGTTGAGAGCTGTGAGCGCAACAGCCAGCGGGTCACCGACCAGGGGAAGGATGCACTAGAGGACGATCGCGACGGCAGTTGGACTGGGTTTGGGGTGGATCGGGCGGGAACCAAAGCGCGCCTTGGTCACGATCAACGCTAACCCCAATCGGGACTTGCAGTGACAGCCCATCGACGTAAGAGATACATAACCTGGCCGCCTTTGGTGATGACGTCTTCCAGCAGCTCAACCAGCTATAAAGATTGTCAGTGCCAGCATCATGGAGGTAGCCTTTTGGTAATTCGAACATTGACTAAGAAACCAGTCTATTTGAACATTCTGATCCAGAACATCTACTTCTGACCTCTACAATTTTCCATCCTCAATCCCATCAACTTGAATACCTTACAAGCCACCATGTCTTTCCTCACCCGCATTGCCCCCGCTGCTCGCACAGCTTCGCTGTCTCTCCGACCTGCGACTACTCCCGTATTCTCCGTGGGTGCCACCCGCTCGATCTCCGCCACTGCCCGTCGTGACAAGGGACCCATCGATGCCACCAAGGACACCCTGAAGAAGGCCGACCGCAAGGTTTCGGATGCCGCTGTGAAGGGCATTGAAGTAGGAGGTATTTAGATCACCAATACCCTGTTGCACGGGATCCCTCGCTCATCATGATGTGCAGAAAACGCCGCTGAAAAGGTCAAGAGCACCGTTGGCAGCACCACCGCTGAGGCCAAGGCCAAGACCGACGAACTGTCTGGTGAGGCATCTCAAGTGGCTGGCCAGGGCAAGGGCAAGGCCGAGGAGGCACTCGGTACTGCCAAGGGCAAGGCAAAGGAGGCCGCTGGAGAGGTCAAGGGCAAGGCCAAGGAAACTGCTGGACGGTTTTAAACGGGGCCCCAGATGGAGACACTAAACGCACGCTTGACGACCTGCATGAAACAATCCAAGATGGGGAATCATAAACCTGTACTATTATATTCATAGTTAATGCATTGGAATGAACGATCTAAAGCAAAAAGTGGAGTGTTTTTATGGCTGATGAGATAAGATTCGTCAGGCTTGCTTAGTGCTTAGTAGTCGAACGTGCGGCAGATTGCGCCACGCCACCCAAACGGAATCTGGGGTACGAAGGTTATGTTCTAGTTTTGTTATCCATGGGTCGGAAGAAGAACAGTATAGCCCTGAATAACCTATCTTGTAAACAGAGATGGTGGAATCAGTCTAACATGTACTTTCCATCATCATTCTCGACGGCGACGGAATTGCCAGTGTCCGGGTGTGCCTGCGTCATGCGGACCCATCGTCTCCATCCATCTTGTTGAACCGAGGCTTTTTCTGGGTCTCGGTTCATTGCCCTTTTCGTCTCACTTTTGCCCCCTTTGCTTTTTCTTTCTTTCCCATCTACAATCATTGCCCGTTCGACTTTCTTTTCCCGTGAGGGATAGGTCTTTTAGTTATTTGTCGTTATTTCCCGGGAGTCGATATCACTCTTTTTTGTTTTTGCGTTCTTCCTTCTGCAAGTTACAGTTTGCCACCATGAGCAAATTAAGCAACCCTGTCAGCCTGTTGGCGGCAATCCTCGTGCGAGTCCCCCTCGTTCTCAAGACCATTCTCCTACATGCCATTCGTCTCTCGCCAGTCACGGGAAAACAAGACTTGCGCACTGAGTTGACCGTCGCCATCATTCGCTCATTCCTCGTTTTTACCTCGCCTGTTGGCAAGCAGCAAAGAGACAGCATGCGCGACCCCGGTATCAAGGGTCCCATGTGGGTGTCCAAAGTGACCTTTCCCAAACCAGAAGCGGATGTCCAGGACGCAGTCGTCAAGGCCATCGAGGCCCTGAAGACAGGAGATGAGACATATACTATCCCTGGAGTAATTCCGCTTGAGGCAGAGTGGACGGGATATCGCAGTGGTGTGCACAAGAACGCGCCGCAGCCGGATATTTCGGAAGAAGCCATATATGAGGAGTTGAAGAAGGAATCAAAGGAGGATATGGTGATTCTGTATCTCCATGGAGGAGCTTACTTGTAAGTTACCCTTGATGCTCTCTGGACTCTCCGAATTCTGACGTCTTCGATGTTTAGCCTTTGCGACCCATGCACCCATCGCCCGCTCGTCGCTCAGCTGTCGAAACGAACCAGTGCCCGTGTTCTATCGGTGCGCTACCGTCTTGCACCTCAGAACCCGTTCCCTGCTGCTCTTGTCGATGCCCTTACTGCATACCTATCGCTCGTCTCTCCGCCTCCGGGCTCTCTCCACGAGTCCGTCGCGCCGAACAAGATCATTGTCTCCGGTGATTCAGCCGGAGGTAACCTTTGTCTTGTTTTGCTCCAAACGCTCCTCACACTCCGTCGCGTCTGCCCTACCGTCCGCTTTCATGGACGTGATGTCCCTATCGAACTTCCTGCCGGCCTAGCGATCAGTTCCCCCTGGTGCGACATCACTCGCTCTATGCCCTCCGTCCACCACAACTCGGTCTACGACTTCCTGAGTCCCCCCACCCAGGATCCCGAAACAGCCTACCGCCCACTCGCTGTGCCTGAGGACGATGTCTGGCCCGTCAAGCCACCTCGTGTCGACCTCTACGCCAACGCCAGCGCCCTTTTGCACCCGCTCGTCAGCCCGCTGGCGGGCCGCGATGAAATCTGGAAAGGCGCGCCTCCGGTGTTCATCGCCATGGGAGAAGAAGGTCTCACGGATGAGGGACTCGTTGTCGCCCGCAAGATGCACCGGGTTGGCGTCCCTGTCGTTGTTGAGCAATTCGAAGGCATGCCGCATTGCTTTGGACAGGTTATGATGGGGACGCCTACGTCTCGTCGCTTCTTGGACGGCACGGCGCAGTTTTGTCGTGATGTCGTGGCTGGCAAGATTACTGCGGATACCCCTACTCCGGCGAAGATTACCTTCATTGGGTACAAGTTACAGTCGATTCGTGAGATACCGCTTGAGAGCGCCGTTCCTTTGACAGATGAAGAAGTGGATACAATTCTGGAGAGGGGTAAGCATTGGCGGTTGGAGGGAGAGAAACTACTGGAACAGGAGTGGTTAGAGAAGGCGAAGCTCTAATTTTTATTTTTGAATGGAGATATGCTATAAAATTGGCGTTTGGGCTTGATTTGCTATACCCTGCTCGTTTATAGACTTGCTTTATGTATATGCTTGCTAGACAGATGTACATGCATACGATAGCTACATAGATATACTTTCATCAGCACCGTATCGACTTTTTGATCTATCATAATTAGACATCAAAGCGCATAAGCAACCCTAATCTCAGGTCTAAGCTATTATCAAAACCATAAAATCCATGGCGACTTTATCATTGAGGACTACGACTTGGTCAAAGTAACTCGGTAGTTATTACAACACATCAATTTCCTTTCGCTGCTCCCCTCTGAACATATCCATCACTACCACTGCGGCGGAAGGCATGCTCGCTTCGATGTTGATGAAGCCTAACCAGGACGATTCTAGTATGAGTTCTCTATCTTTTTCAACGCCAACCAAACAATCCACTTTTCCCTAGACAGCTTCCAGCATCTCCGTTTTCTCTGTTTCTTCGCGGCAATCAAACCTACAATCAGCCTTTCCCCCTAGAAAGATGTCATGATCAGTACCGGTTTCTCACACCAGGATATTGTCAGTTGGATATAGTCGTAGGAGGAGTATAGATCTATTGTAGATCTCTGATGCAACGACAACGTGTTTATGTTTGACTCAGAAATCGCGGTCAGTATCAACCAGAAACCCCCAAATCTATATATAGTCTTGCGTGCATCTGAAGTAGGACTAAGACGGATACAGCGATCTGGTCGTGCATTCATTTGACGTACTTCTGACTTCTATAATAGGTCACTTAGCGTAGACGGGCTGAAGTAACTTTGACCCTTAAGTAGGACAATCGACAAGAGTTATGCCATCAAGTAGAGAATCTTGTCCCTTCATAGTCCCAGCATATCAGCAGGCAAGTACGGCAAAACAAATAATATAGAACGGATTGTATGCTGCGCCGGAACAGTTATTGTCCCGTTCATAGCTCGTTCTTTGACGTTCAAGACGTAGAACCTGTCTGTCGCTTAACCAATTAGCGACATATCGCATGACATTATCCAAATTAGTGCTCTTCGTATCATTTCCATGTACTTTTCATGATCTTGAGGATATCGGTAGTCAAGTAGAAGTTCGCCGCGGAAGCTTTATCACTGTCGACAGTCAATCGACCAACCCGTCATAAGCTAACATATCTTCCCAGACAGCCATGGTAGAGGCATTTGTCAGAGCTGAAATCCTATATGGAGTATCACAGCCCTTATAAAGAATAAGATTCTGGAAATCGTTCAATTATGCGACATGCGGCACCATACGACAGCGAGCACAAGCAATAACTTATCTTGATGCTGACTCCCCTAGCCAATGTAAACCAGAGAATTCCACACCATAAGCCATGTTCAATGCACTATGGGCGAGGTGCATCTCCTGAAGTGAGGCAGTGTTTCAATTGGTCCACAAGACGGGTCATAAATGTCAAATGCCCAGTCTGTCTTATAAGTAGGACGATCTAATGGCCAGTCAATATATCAGTGAGCCACCGGTGGTCCCCTTCTGTGATAATTGCGTCGCTCGTATTTTGTGCCCGCTTGCGTTGCGCTTGCCTTTGTCCGGCTCCAGGGCTGTACTCGATCTTACTTCGTCGACCGGGAGGTATCTGATCTATCTTCTCCTGGAAGTGATCCTACCACTTCCCAGATGTACATGCATCACTACTTTATCACTGAAGAAGTTTGTTGTAAAGACCTTCAATTTCTTCTCCCAGTATCCCGTACACTCTCCCGTTTTACCCGAGTGTAGGGTTGTAGCGGTACTTGCTTCCAGACCAAGGAGTGGCGCGCAGCATACTTCGGTGCCCACTTCTCAGTGATAGGCGCCCCTCATCTTCCTGTGTCGGTTGTTTTCAAAAGCCCACCCGCGGCCCCCATGGAGCTGGAGGAGGTTGAGTCGATGTAACGAGACCTACAAGCATAATGAACGACACCCATCACCAGTACAAGATGAGTTTCCAGACCTTGAATCTGGTGACTACTTCCCCAGAGAACCAAGTCCGCCGCCATACTGCATATTCGATGCATTTATATACCGAGAAATACCACGTGCGGGTTTTTGCCGATAACCCAGAGGGTTTCCGTATTAGAGCTGTGTCTGTATGATACTGATTAGGGTTGGATTGTGTTATAGCTCTGAAGGGTGGGCTTGGTTAGCCATAGTAGTAGATTTATAGTATAATGTGGGGTATTGGCTTGGTAGATGTCTTCGGTGTCTAATTCCATTATATGGAAATATAATACCATAAACTGTAGCTTGAATATGGTTTTGTCTGAGATAATTTGACATGTGTCTCTTGGAGAGGGATTACGGTCGAGTAAAAATCAATACTTGAGTAAAATGGAGAGGAAGATCATGAAAGAAGGAAAAGGGGCTTTTATAGTAATGACTTTCTATCACTTCCTACCAGGGGTGAATTTTGATAGTGACTATATCAGTCCTTCTAATCTTCAATTTCTGCCAATATTCACATTGGGATGAAGACTATACTGCAAATGCAAGGAGGCATTGAATGCCGCAGCTAGCAATGCACTAACTGCGAAGAGCTAGCCGCGGCTCCTTGCAGATCGCGATAACCTTAGATAAGAGTGGGTTTAGTGTTTACATATAGATCAGGAGTAAAGATCAATATCAATATATGTTGGTTCTTATAATCAATACTCCATTATCCACCTAGGTATAGATCCCAACCACCATCCATAGTAACGCCAGTAATATCCTAAACGCCCTAATCAGTCCCAAAACAAACCGAACTCCTAAATATATTCATCATCGTCCATAGACCCATCGTCATCCCACGAGGATGCTCGGCCAGACGTATCCTCGACTTCCACCTTCAACTCAGGAACTGCCTGTGGAACAACCGGCTGTCCCTTCTCAGGCCACAACTTCGGCGGGGAGAAGAAGCTTCGAGAAGTAGCTTCCGCTGTTGGGAAATTGATCGCACGACCATGGATGCGGATCTCGCCGGTCAGGTTGACCGGAACAGGCTCTTCTTCCACATACCCGTCCCAAAAGCCAAGCATCTGTGCAATGAGCCTAGAAAAGGCGATAGCAATAGTCCAAAGAGGTGTGAATATCGAAGACAAGTGAAGCCAGCGCCAGAGCATTGTCGGTATCACGTATGGGAAACGGGGAGCATCCGGGAGGAGGCAGTTTCCCTGGCAGGTGTCTGAGATGGATGGGTGGCAGTAAAAATCGCACATGGTCGATTCGGAGTAGAACCACAGGAGCAGAATGAGAGAGCACCATCCTAAACGCGTAAGACGTATGCGTCCGGAAACAGGGTTTCGTCTCCATAGCCGTGGGAGGGTTACCAACGCGTAAACACGACCATCGCTTTCCCCGCTGCAATTTTCGCAGACGTGCTGCTTGCTTCGTTTGCCCTTCAGGGGAGACGGGATTGCGGCAAGCGTATCCGCATCTCGCGATACTTGGACCTCCAAGCCGTCCAACCCTGTTTTGACCTTTTGGATGTTGTCCGCTAGCGACTTTAGCTTGTCATTCAGCCGATCCAGATCCACTGTCTCTTTATCCCCAGCACTGGCAAGTTCCAGTTTCTTCAAAATCTCCTTCTCGTATGCAGCATCGTCCTCATCCTCGGTCTTTAGCTCACCAGGCTGCCCGTCGATGATGTCCTGAAGTGACTCAATCGTATCGTCACCGACATCTAGTGACTCCTTGTGGTCCTTGTAATCCTTCAACACTGTCTCGAGAGCGCTCTTTGGCAGATCGGGCTTGACCAGCGGTGCTTTCTCCTTGGACTTCGCCGATCCACTCGATTTTCTCGGCTGTCCCTGCTCAGCTTTATTCTCTTGTTTCTCCCGATCCGGCCTTTCCGCATTCTTCAGCTCCTTCTCCTTTTCTCTCTCCTTTTCCAACCGTTCTTTTTCTTCCCTTTGCTTCTCCTCCTTTTGTCTCTGTTCCCTATCTTGTTCCTCCTTCTGTCTTTTCTCTTCCTGCTCCTTTTCTTTCTCTCTTTCTTCCCTTAAGCGTCTTTCTTCGAATTCGTGTGATTGTGAAGCTTGACGGGTATGCGAAGGCACTAGCGACGACTCGAATCTTTCATTCCTCGGAGGTGATGGTACTATATCCCGAGAGAGATGCTCTGGGAGCTCATTGACCCGTTCCACCCGTTCGGTCACCGGTGTATCGATCCATGCCCCCGTCACCACAGGCGTCTTGTCGTAGATGCGTCTCTCGGGATATTTCTGGGCCTCCGGGGTTTTAAGCTCGTTCCGTTGGCCTGGAGACTCTGTCCTCGATAGTTTCCGAAGTAGATCCTGCGAGTCTCTCTTCGTTGGGCTTCGCTTCGTGAATGTTGAGTTCTTGTAGACCACAATAGGCGTATTCGGTATCGGATTACCTTCAGTCAGCTTGTCCGCTTTCTGTTCGGAGAGCTTGTTCTGCGCATCGGACAATGGGATCCTGTTGTATCTATTTGACGGACGTTCGGCCGGCGTGGTGCTTTCGACAGTGATCGGTTCCGTATGGTTGATGTGCGAGTCTCTGTCAAACTTGAGCTTAGGGGGAGATGTCTCCTTTGCCCTCACCGCTGGGTTTTCTGGAAGCTCTGTGCGCCGCGTCATTTTTCTCAACCAGTCACGGCGATGAGCTGCCCGGCTTCCCCAGGTCGACGGGAGATTTAAGGAGGGTCTCAATCCATCGTTTTCTTCTTCTTCCATATATTGCTGCTCTTCCTCTTCCTCGCGCCGTTGCAAGTTCTCCGATGTGAGGGGGTTTGGCGTCCCTGCGTTGCTCAGCACAGGAGACCGGCTGGATGTGGCCCGTCTCAACCGCTTTTCATCTTCGACATGGTCGACTAGTTTTCGGCGGAGGCCGTCGTCCGAAATCTCATTTAAAAAATCCGCATCAGCAGCCGCAAACAGATCGTCTCCCCTCAGTCGCGATGCTGACGATGAGCGTCTGCTGCGACTGTCACGCAACGAAAAGTTGAAGTCTTCATCGTCGGGGTCAAGGTCGGCCAGGCTCCCCGCATCATCGATTTGCCGATATGCCTCCGCCAACTCATTCGGGGGGTTAGACTCGGGGGAAGTGAAGTTGAAACTCTGTCTTCTGTTCCGATTTGGCGTGCCGTGGGTGTATGTGGCGGCTTCGTGATCCGACATATTGTGTAGACGCGAAGTGTAATCGAAAGCGGCACGGAACGATCCAGTTTGGCTGAAGTTCCGCCGATGCTGTCGGCTATTGTAGTCTTGGTAGGTATTAGGTACGAATGACGCGTCAAAATTATCCGTGAGGCGAGTAGGGCGAGCTCGTCGAAAGGGGGAGAGTTGCTGGTCCTGGGGGTAATCGCGGTTGCGACGCGCCAACGCCCCTCGGTCGCTCCTGCGCTCGGGGGTAGCAGGCATGATGAGAGACAGGCTCGGCCAATCCGCTCCTTGCGACTAACACAAAGAAGCTAGGGGCAGATGGTGGGCAAGGAATGCAGTGAATGAAGAGCTCGCAAGATCAACACTCCCCAGCAACAGAGCAACAAGCGCAACGACGAGCTCCGCCCGCGGTACTGCTGCGTTGCCCGATCGGGTTAGCCGGATACTGGCGTCATTCCAGTAATTCTTCCACTTTAGCTTCAACTTCTTCCATTTCGGCTAAGCCTCCTGACTAATGAATCAGATCTTGATGTGGGTAGTACGCCGCTTGCTTCTCTTCCTCTTTTATTAATGATTCCTTCTGGACGCCTGTACTGTCCGACATGTGCCCTGGTCAGGCGAATCCGTCGTCGTCACTGTTGTGTTCTCCCCGCATCAGTATAGAAGCGACATTGCGAGATACGACAGTCATGAACTTATCGTCCAGAGGCCTAGGGGTTTCTCGACTCACTCTCCTTTCTTAGCGTAATTGACTGCCTCGTTTGCCCGGCATTCAGGAGCAGGAGACTGTACATCAGAATATCTAAGTAGGGATAGCTATTTCTATCAGATAAAGCTCCAAGGCAAGATTTCAATTACTCACTCTTTCATTCCAAAGGGCATCTAATTAGGTTCAACGTGTAAACTAGCTTTATTCCTCTGTCCTTCCAACCGCAAAGAGCTCTAAAATCTACTTTTCCAAATTACTTCCTGCGCTATTATCGGATACGATACTAGGCGTTGTCAGCACTTTATGAATAGGGTGCCAGAAGGCGACTTGTATCAATCTGTTTATAATTCACGTAGTGTCATAGCAATAAAGAGGCTAAGAATATGCACATCTAATCCTGGACTTAACGATATTCCGCTTGGTAAAACTCAAAATGGCCGAATGCGAACTGCACGACACAACGAAAAGAGTAACTGTATACGATAATAAGGAGCGAATGAGACATAAGGCAAATTATTCATATAACCGGGTATCATTCAGGCAGGCATGGCCTGATCCATCTCTTGAGACTTATATGTAGAGCATCAGTCAGATCAACCATTGGATCCTTCAAATCATCTATCGTGAGAGTTGCATAATATTCCTAATGCAGGGTATGCCAGATACCCTATGCTCAGCGACCACTCCCACCACTTTCCAGAAGATAATCAACGGACCAGAGTCTCTCCCAGGGCCGGTATCTGGGAGTCGGGCGGCGGGCCGAGTGCATAGATGAAGCGTCGAGGTTATCAACACGTGGAGACGAAGGTGACACTCTACCCTCGGATATTGCACGTTGGTGGCCCCTGTACATTCGTTCCGTGCCCTATTGACGGTCCGTCAGCTCCGTTCAGGAGAGAAAGGAAAGTCGGGGCCGCGATTTTCACGGACCCTGAGGAGAGTTGCGGCGAACCTCATCGGGTTTGGGGGCTGCCTCCCGTGAGTGTAAGCTGGCAGCAGTGTCTTGTTCAGCTAGTCTTGCTAGGTCTGTTGTTGATTCGTTTCCGCGTTGTGAAGGAGTCGAAGAATGCCCCTTCTTAGAATTGGAACTATTTCGTCGGCTGTCTAAGCTCTTGGTCAACGTTTTGGCAATATTCCCACCGGCTGATGTGCGTTTCATGCGGATGCTGCCTTTGGCGTCTACGTGTGCTGGCGCAACAGTGCTCTTTCCTAGGCCCGGAGTCGCTGGGGCGCCTGGCTTTTCTTCCGTGGCATCTAAGAGGTACCAGCGGAGACCATCAGACAGCTCAAACGGGTTCTCGTCATCAAGTGAGGTGCCATCGCTGACTTCGCCAATGGAACGGCGGTCAGGATTGGCACCGTTCATCGATTTGGAGAGATCAACAACGCGTTCTTCGATCTTGGTAATCCGAGCAAGCAGCCAGTCCCGGGTTTGAAGCTTGTGCGCATCTTGCTCGCGCAGGAAATAGTGTGGAGCGCCAACATTGAACGCAGCCCATGACCGGATAGCTTGGTTGCGGGTAGGCAAGAACAGTGCAAGATCCCCTTCTTTAAAGGACCGGTAGGCGATTTTATCATGGGCTTCGCTTTGAACCCGGTGGTACTTGTCTCGGTATCCGCGGGCTTCTTTCTGCCATTTGCGAGCAAGAACTTCAATATCCTTTACACGCTTGACAACCGCGTCGCCGAAGATGTCCACATCAAATTGATATAAGGATTCCACGAAAGCCATGAACTTATCTGTTTCTTCTTCCTTGCTATCGGCATGCATCCAATCGAGAAGGCTTGCGTCCGGTCTCACAGACACCACTCCCGACTGGCTAAGACTGTCACCAGTGCTAGAGAGGGCATTGACCTTGGACGACCTCTGCACAACTATGTCACCATTTTGACGAACGATCGTGAACCCTAGTTGTTCCAGCATGCGCTCCAGCTTCTCCACTTGTGCGAAAAGCTGCTTTGACAACTCCTGGAACCTGACCCCGCAAGTCTCGAACCGTACAGTAGCTTGCTGCTCCGCTTCGGACATTGCTTCAACCTTCTTCTTCCAGGTAGTAACTTCTTCTTCAGACTGACGAGCCAATGTCTCAACCTCAGCTAGCCTCTGGGCCAGATCAGTTAACTTCCGTTCTTCTTCGGTAACACGCTCCCGCAGGGCGTCGGATCCTGTCTCGCCCGCAGCAAATTGGGACTGTAATGCGATGAGTTTTGATCGTTCATCTTCCAATTCTGAGGTCACAATGCTCAGCTTTGCTTTTCCTTCAGCCAATTCATTCCGAGCTTGGGAAAGTTCTGTTTCTCGTGAGGTCGCAGTCTTTCTCAAATCCTCCAATTCAGACTCCATCAGACCCAACCGTTCTTCGAGCACCTTGCTTTCCGCTGAAGCTTTTGCGGCACTCTCCTCCGCATTCTTGGCATGGATCGTTAGCCCTTCGGAGAGAACCTCAATTGCTTTAATGATATTCGGAAATTCGGTAGGAACAGAGCCACCAGGAGACAAATTGAGAAAAGCGACCTGCAAAGCGTGCTTGTTATCGTTTTCTTTCCTTTCGTTTTCAGCCACCTGGTTCTGTAGCTCTTCAATACGGGCCCGTAGGGTTTCTCCTACGCCCTTCTCCGATTGCAAGTGTCCAATCGTTTCATTTGCTTTCCTCAATTCTTCTTCAGCTCGGGCATGGACATCTTGCAATTCCATTTCGAGATGATGTATGCGCTCATCGGCGTCTTGCTTCTCGTGTTCGCGACTGTCGAGATTTCTGTCCACCTCTTCTTCTAGCTCCTCAGTCCGGATTCGAAGCCTTTTTAATTCACCCTCCAAAAATCTGCGCTCGTCATCAAACTCACGTTGCCGCGCTTCGAGATTGCCAATGAGATCTTTCTTCGTTGACTGGGCTTCTTGTATTTTGTCGGTATTAGACTGCCGCTCGGCATGTGCCTCCTTTTGAAGTCGTTGCACCGTGTCTCGCTCAGCCGCTAGCTCGGCCTCGAGGCGAGTGATACGTTGTACGAGCGCCTTTTCCTCCGGAGCTTGATTTGCAGACATTCGCCTTGAAGAGACCGAAGATCTCCTTGAAAGTGAGTCGGGGTGAGGCGACGCCGGTGAACTGGGGAAATCAAGTGAGAAGTTGCCGCTGGAGGGTCGACTCATATGACTCTGACGATGAAGGAGATCCTCTAACTTTCGAATACGGCTCTCGGAGCCTTTCAATCTATCTTCAAGCTTGACTTTCTCATCTTTTAGACTTCTGACCATATCGTCACTGCGCAGTAAAAGCGAGCTTCGGCTCAGGTCAAAAAGACTTCCCTGTTTGAAAGCTTTTGCTCTGCGACGCTGCATCCGGGTCGGAGCATCAAGCTCTTTGAAGCGCTGCATCAGTTCTTGGGCGTGATTTTCCATGTCAGGTTTATTTTTCAGTTCTTCGATATATGACTCAACTTCTTTCCTACTAACGGCAGGCCATTCCTGCTCCTGGCCTCGTAGATTTATCTCAATGCCCGGGGTCGTAGCATCAGAGATGGAAATAAAATCCGCCATATTTTTGAGCCATTTCTTCCTTCGACGCTGCTCTTCTTCCCGGAATACAGACATTTCCTCCGCCAAAGTCAGTGAGTCGTTCTTCATTTTATCATTGAACTCGCGACGTCGCACAGACTCAATCAGAACCGACCCGTAGATCATAGGCATATGGAAGACTGTGTAAATGACATCAAATGCTTCGCTTTGCAAAGGCAGACTGTTGATCTGAGGTAGAGTTTCGGCAAGCCGATACTCAATAGAAGATATGAGTCGCATATGACTCGACGAGGCTTTCACTGCTGCATTATATCGTCTCACAGCTTCTTCCTGGCCAGCCTGTATTTCGTTGCTAACGTCCAATAACGATGGTAGAAGGTCTTGTGTATGGCTGAGAGCGAGCCTAGAAACGTTTGCCAATGTCTTTGGGTTGTTAGGCAAGGCCAGAACATGCTCGTAGTCGGATTGTATCTTATTTGATATTGTTTCCATTTCCTGCAAGAGTCCATCCACGGGCTCAACACTCGTAGGAAAGGCTTCATCAACCAGGCGTTGAGTATCTGTAGCAATCTCACTAACATTTTTCTCGATAGTGCTAACTTGATGGGCAAAGCGCGCAAGTATTTCTGGGGCTTCCGAGCCAGCCCTTTGTACCTCCGCTGTATCCACGTAGTCTTGTAGTGTACCCATGGCTTGGCCTCTGCCTTTCGTTGGTGTTGACGGACGGCCCAGGAAGGGGAAGTCCTTGCGAGCTGGAATGCTATCTAAAGTTGACAGTGCCCTTTTCCATCCATTGAGTGCTGCTTGCTGTTGACTTAAAAGTTCATTGGCGAAGGACTGGGCCTCTTGGAATTTATGCTCTAGGGTGCCGACGTGGGTTTTGAGGTTCTCGAGAGCTACGCTTGCAGCTCGGTTGATGATATCAGTGCGCTCGTTGTGTTCATGTATCTGCTTTTCCGCCGACTCGCAGCGCTCCGTGAGGTCCGCGGCCCATGTCCTCCTTGCTAAGTAGAGGCTCCTCCATGCTTGTAGATCGTTCTGGTTTGTGAGGGTATCGGGCGGGTTATCGACGTGCAGTGGATGTGGCGGGGGTAGCTCGGGAATCTGGATGCTGTTGGGCTCGCTGACCCATCTTCGGTCATAGACAAAGATTTCGCTCTGTTTATTGATGGCTTTAGCACAAAGTCCTCGTTTGATTGTCCGGCGTGACCGTACCTCCGTGGCAAGCGTCTTAACGTTTTTCCCACGAGCAGTCATTAAGATCTGCCGTTGAGGGGGTATCGAAGTCTTCGGGGCCACCCATGATCGTACTGCATCCGGACTTTGTGAAAGCCGATGATGTTAGCTAACTTTCACCGAAGGTAAGATAGGGGAATGATAGGAACAGTTGGGCAGGGCTCAAGGGGCGGTGATGGGAAAGCAGGGCGAAGGGGACATACGATGCAAAGGACGCTGTATCGGTAACAAAATGCTCACCAGTGTGAGCTATGTAGATGTGCAGAGACATCCCCTCCTCACAAGACGAGCAGAAAAGCTCCTGAGTTGACTGGAGAGGAATGCGGGAGGGGAGATGATAAGGGAGTCATATACTGGAAGTAAGTAGTGAGGCTGCACAGGCATCCAGGCCCAAAGAGCTCCCCCGGTCTAGGCTGCGTTTGGTCGGTTTGGTGTCTGACATCGCGCCGGAACCGCCCACCGCATCCCGGGATCTCCACCGCCCTACCGCTAAAGGTCGGGAACCAGCAATCCATGATCCATTCAAGCTGGGCTTTTCCAATCACACGATCATTTCCCCGACTTGCCACGAGGTCGTATTCTATGACATCTGAAAAGGTCCGTCCCCTGCCTCACCTGAACCCAGGTGAGGTATCGTTGTTGGATCTCGCGACCGACGACCCTCGCGATACCGTAACTTTGTCCGACAAAGAGGCCTTGATCCTGCAGCTGTATCGGCAGATCCAGGAACAGCGATTGGAGAAAGCGCTACTAGAACAAGGTCGGTGTCCATGTTGCTAGAGCAACAAACTATCATTTGTACTTGATCTAGCACTAATCATTGTGCCTTATACAGACACGGATTTGCTATCTGGGGACAATGCTGAAGAGCAACTAGCCGTCGCCGAGCGTGAGCTTCTGGAAGCTAGGGCGACTTATACAGTCAGGAGGAAAGCTGTTGGCACAGTTCTTATGACTGATCCCATCCTCAAGGCTGTTCATCTGAAAGCGTCGACGCCAGCTGAACAGTAAGTTTACTAATCGTCTTCTGCATATAATTTTCTTGATTCTTGCGTCTTTTGAATTATTTGCTGGTTTTCCTATTTTTTGGAGTGCTTCAATTATCTTCTCCTTACTTACCAGAAACAGGGCCCTCCTACGGCTCATTAATCGTCGCGACATGCTATCTTTAGCGCATGAAAATCTGAATACTGCACACAGTGCAACTCTTCGAAGGCTTTCAAGCCTGGAGGTGGAAAATTCACAGATCCACCAGCAAAACCAAGAGTTAGTCCGTGAGCTGTTAGCCCTTACGGTAGATGATGAATCGTGGAGAGAAAATCTGGAAGATGCGGAGCTCAAGGCCCAGCTCGATCAACTAGATGCGGATCGCAGGAAAAGCAAAGCTAAATGGGAAACCATGAAAAACATCGCAAGCGGGATGGTTGTCGGTAGTGGAGTGAACTGGGCTGAAGACGAGAGGCTCACGGCTCTGGTCCTTGACGAATCTGATGATTGATGTAGTGGGTTGGTATATTGCAGTACTTGGATAGGCGTTATGAGATATACCCTTGAATCGAATTATAGACGACATGAAATATCTATCATGTCTCCCTCACTCTTTGAGGGTAAATTGAGTTTGTGATTGATCAAATCCTCGCCTTCCTTCGATATCGCGGAGACGTACAGGAAAGCTTAGTAATCGGCACAACACCAGGGTAAGCTGAAAATCCGAAAATCACGACTGCAATCACTTCCTCAGCCGGGGTGTTGAAGGATAGGTAGTGCGACCCACGTGACATCATGGCCCACCCGGGCAAAGGCAAACAGCGTTCGTCATACCGTGTCCACAGAGCTTACTGACGGAGTCTAGGATTTGGGAAACAGACGGGAGAAATTCAATAAGCCAGTCCGAAATAAGCTGCAACCCTTGCAGTAGACAAAGGGGGAATGACAGCCGGAAATCAACAACGGCGCTTACGCATGTATGCCATCTGTGTTTACCCTCGAACGCCGACCAGGCAAAGGGAGTGCATGTGAGCATACGAGAGCTCCGTGAGGGGAGGGTAGCCAGACCAAAGAGGAGCCGGTGTTTCCACCGAGAACCAAGTAACAGCGTCAACGACCCCCTCACCATTATTAAGGATACAGTGCAGCTTACAATACCGAGAAGTAATCGGCAGGTATCAGCAGAAGGATGGTTGCGTCCGATCATTACAGGATCCAGTATTTTGCCGGTAACTTTCCGCTGGTGTTGTTAGTGACGGGAATGCGGTGGCATTTGCGAGTCTCGCATCAGCAGCACCTCCCTTTGGGCGAACAATCCATGCAGACCTTTGCAATAGATCATTACGATCGTCTATTTTAATGTCTGGGGCTAGCAATAGTCAATAAGTAAACATGTCGCAACACTTTTGGTATCTTGTGTCTATCCTTAGGGAGGAACACCATCGTCAGTGTTGGGTTATAGCCTACTTTCTACTTATTGATAACAGACACTTGACCTACGGCAGATACCCACAGAAGTAGGGTCCAAAATCTTGGGTGCTTTGAGGTCAATGAGTTCCCTGTGCAGATAGCCTGGGGTGAGCCACTGAAGAAGTCCGTGAACTTGTGAATTGGCGTACTTTCTGACCCTGGCATGAAATTAGTGGGTGATCTCGAAGCAGGTCTGCTTTGTGACTGGTACATTTGGTAGGAGCGGTAACCAAACAATTACTGCTTACTCCGAAATAATGAGAGGTAAATAGTTAGCTCCTAGCCCGCCATGCGGATAGGTAGGCTGCACATGTCCCTAGAGTGACCGAACTAATGGTGTTGATTAATCTATCTGGTAACACTTCTGCTCTCATCGCTACATCACTCTCACGGTTCCCCGTTTTTATTGGGGGAGTGTCGATATGCTAGGAGAAGAGCGTTCCTTAGTGTCACTCGGCAATGGCATGGTTAGCCTCAGCAACTCGCTCGAGCCCATCTTCGGGCCTATAAAAGTTCTATTGTGCAAGGGAAGCTGTAAGGTATCCACATCGTACCACTGCTGATTATGTCTATAGGAGTCTAGTAGACACATCTCACAGTCACTGACCAGGGATGAGCCTTTTCACGTAGTGACGAGTCCTTCCCCTTCCAACACACGTAACTACACGGGAAGCGGGACCTCGGACAGGAGCTGATACAGGATACTCGCCTCATACGCCCTAAAGTATGCCAGAAACAATCTTACTAAAGTCTACTAGGACGCAGCACCGCCTAAGATAAAGCGCCTGTATGGGAGGGCGGAGAATTATCTGCGCGGGATTATCCTCAAATATCGCGCAAGTACTCCGAGGTACACGGTACCGAACGCTGGGTAGTCGGCAACAAACAACTTGAAGTGTCCATGCAACAAGAAAAAATTGATGAAAGTAACAATTAAAATCAAAATATAGAATTTATTAGTGATAGCGGAGCACATAAGATAGCTATTGGATTTCAATAATTCAAGCTGATTTATATGATATCTCGAAGTAGCAACAGCTGAACCTACTAGCCACGCACGGGTTTAAGTACACTCAAGGTGCTGCACAGAAGGAAAGGTTCTACCTAGTACGGAGGACTCCGTAGATACTAGCACTGCTGGTTAGACTCAGTAAAGAGTAACAACATACGGTACGACCGGTACTTTCCAGGTTACCAGCACCACACCCCCCTCATGATACCGCCATGTATTTTACCCAAGGCCAAATTATCCACCTCATAGTGGCGCAAATTGGTGTACTAAGGTGGTATGGTAAAGTTCATTACGGCAACTAACAGTGGACCTCCATCAGTGCAATGTTCGGTAGAGAGCTCCATCTTGTCTAACAGGCGAAGTCTGGATTACACCATTGAGTGGCATTTGACTTGCTAAGGAAAGGCTCTGCAACCTTGCAGGCCATTCAGTGACCCAGCACAACACTGTCGTCCAGAACGCGGCCAGCGAGCATTGCCGGGAAAGAGGCAGATGACGGTACGTGACCGGTATGATACAATACTGACCATGCTCCAGCGGGCGGCCAGCCAGTCGCAGCCAGCAGACCTACTCGCTTTCCCTTGCTGTGCTGCCCACTTCCCCCCTTCCCAAGTGTGAGCGAGGTCAGGTAGGTAATGGCCCGCCTTCCCGTCTTCCCTCGCTCTTCTTCCTACTACTACTGCTCTCCCCCTCTCCCTCTCTCATTCACTCTCTACCTACTCTCACTACGCTTCCTCCCATACAATTCTCTCTCCCATACAAAAAAGTACTGCATATACCGCACTGGTGGGTTCCCTAATAAACATTCCGCTCTTCAGCATTGTCTCTACAACACCAACACAATCTTTTTTTCTCTTTCAACAGAGTTGATTTCCTTTTTCACAAGCTGCTTCTGATCATCTGTTTCCCTTGATTTTCTCTCATCCTGGTTGCGCGACCTCGCTGTCGCGCCTCTGCTACAGCCATCATATAGTTCTAGTAGCAGTGAGCTGACCCAAGCTGTCTTATCCTCCACAGGTCAAATTTGCGACCTTCAAATCCACAACTTCGCGTTCTTTCAGAGTCAATTATTGAGTAAGTTGCTCTCCTGCGCGCCTTTCCCCTCTTGGTGTCATTTGACTTGCGACCGCGATCCCTCTTGTTTGGGCGCGCGCAAACGGCTTATCCGCACCTCCAACCACCACTTGCACTGCGCACTCTGTCGCATCACTTCCTGTGCTCTTTAATCCTCATATTGTTGTCGCTGTCCTTTTTTCCTGCTACTTTTGGTGTCAACTGGGTCACTCCCTGCTTGACTTCTGGATCATTCTGCCTACATCACTCAAAGCCAACTTCCAAGTTCTAACGATCGCATAGAGCTCAATAATCAAAATGCCCAAGGAGAAGACCACCCGCAAGACCAAGCCCCGTGGCACTGAGCGCAGAAAGAAGGGTATGTATGCCTTGCTCTATCTTCGGAACTCATGCTAATGCATAGCTCAGACCCCAACGCTCCCAAGCGTGGTCTCTCTGCCTACATGTTCTTCGCCAACGACAACCGTGAGAAGGTTCGCGAGGAGAACCCTGGCATCTCTTTCGGTAAGTCACTTCTGGACCTTGAATGGGAATGTAGGTGTCTAACTTCATGCAGGCCAAGTCGGCAAGATGCTCGGAGAGCGGTGGAAGGCTCTGAGCGACACTGACCGTCGCCCTTACGAGGAGAAGGCTGCCGCTGATAAGAAGCGTTACGAAGACGAGAAGGCCAGCTACAACGTAAGTTGACACTCCTGCCTTTTCTTTGTCAGCCAATGCTAATGAACTTTGAACAGGCGGCTGCTGAGGAGGACGAGGAATCATCCTAAGGGTTTCCCTCTCTTCATGGGTCTTGTGTGTCTGGCCGATTGGCGTTTTTCGTGTCGTTTATTCCGCTGATTGTCTGCCTTGTAATTGATGCTTCTTATATTTTCTCTTTATCTACTCAACGGCTTCTGGTATGGGATGATGGCGGTAACTCTTGATTTTCTGTTATGAAGGATTCTCGATGGGAAATTTTTACTGTACGGACTGGCGGCTTTGGGACGAATTTGACTTGAAGAGGTGCCCGGCGCTGAATTTCAGAACGACGGGAAAACCTTGCGAGTACCTATGGTGAAATATGAATTGTAGCTGCAGAAGTGATGTTAGGCGACCAATATCTGCTGTATACTAGCCTAATCAACCACATCCTTGTCCTCGGCCTTTCGTGGATTTCGCCTTTTGGCATCCTATTTCCGAGTATGATATCATGACGAATACATGCCCCAGTTGTGGTGTTCATAGCGTTGCAGGACACTTTGTTTTCATCTTCTGGAGACCGCGGGAAGACTCTGTTTGCAAAAGTTGGCCCAAGCTCCTGGGGTGACGCGGGGCGACAGCTTGTTTACGTGTTGGACGCGTCGGGCTTCCGATAACTCCGGATGCAGCCTTGGTGCCTTAGGCCTCGCTAGCTAACGGACGATCCACACTCTGAAGATGTGGCCACCCAGAAGAGAGTACTTAGTAGCTGGCTGATACTCCAATTGCAGGCGTATACCTGGATCAAAACTCTGGCAGGCATGGCCATGCTATCCACTTGGCATCTCGGGGATGGATGGACAGATAGGGAACCAGTGCACCTTGACATCCATCCTATATGTATGCCTACCCAAGGCAACTATCAAACAGTTTCCGTGCGTTAAAGCGTACGTACAACTCATAGGTGGCAAAGGTACACTGTGTGTGTTCGGATCGCGTCCGGGGATGTAGTGTCCAGTCTGCATCTACTGTGAAGTATCTCCCTTGGGCATATCATGTCCGGGTCCTAGTCCTAGTATCTGGTAAGTAGTTGTTGGCTATGGCTACTGTACGTGGTAGCAAATTCCACGTTCAAATTGTGATTCAACCAAGTATAGTGGAATTCAACTATATGCCTACCTGGTTGTGGTACTTTAAGCGAACCAGCATCTAACATGAATAATTGGCAATAATCTGTGGGTAAGTACAGCACCGCTCGCCCCTAATATACCTTCCAGAGAATGTGCGCGACGAGTTTAACAGCGTGTCTTGGCAAAATGGTTGCTATCCAGTTGGGCTGCTGTGCAGTCCCACGTATAGAAAGGTCCCCTTTGACTGCCAGAGTACTTATATACCTTTCCCCTTGGTTTGAATTGAGCTTGTCCTCGTTCAAAGCAGCCTAGAAAAGGTCATCATTATCGGCAAGACAATTGGTGCGATAAGATAAGATAACGGCTTTTTCTAAAATTGCTGAGCTCCAATATCTGCTTAGGTATGGTACTATCTACCCCGTGGTCTACGCACTTCAGAGTGGATACGGGGAAAGCTCGCGGTCACCTATAAGTTGTGGTGGCTCTGGCGTGGGCTAGAGTACTAGCTTAGTATGTGGGGGCAGCAGCAATTCGAGAGTGAAAGGGAGCAAGCTTGAATGGTCTTGGGTTCTTGCTGAGACTGCCTACTAGTCTTTAGGTGGTCTCTGAGTCTCGCCAGGCACAACGTGGCTGCACTAACTATAGTACTGATGTTGAACTTGATCATAGACAACACACCTTAGGCTGCCTTGAGTTTCATTTGGTGGTAACTGGGCATGGTTTGCTTCGATGGTATCTACTCACTAATTCTAATCCCCTCATTGATTGAAGATTAGATACTTCGGGCCTCGTAGAGATTTGCCAAGGGGTTACTGCCGGTAGTTTTCAATTATATATATATCGGCCATGATTTGCTCCACATAGCAGTGTGTGTTGTCTGACAGCCCGACCGTTAGTGATACGCTAGAATTCGAGAAAACAGCATTGTGCTGGCCTGGCTAAAGTCTAGCTCACTCAACTAACGCTCTTGTGAGCACGAGTATTCTCCTATTGGGGTCAGGTTGAAGGGTGTAACGATCCATGGCTTTGAATACCAGGGTAGCACAATATCGCTATTCTGCAAAATGTGTATGAACGCCTTGTGTATGAAAGCCCATATTACATGGAAAAGCTTGTCTGATACTAAGAGATGAGCGCCCGCTACTAAGCCCGCCAAGTTGGATGAATAGGACCTTGTCTTATACCAGCGTTGTCCGTCTTGCTGTATAGTGAGTCTCGTGACCGAGGCAGTCTGTAAAACCCGAATAAAGTTTTGGGGAAGTTCCAGCTGGAATGCGACCCCTGCAAGTAAGCCCGGAGCCCTCGGGGGTGGACTGCCTCTCGTATGATTTACATCCAATGTGGCATTGGATATTCATGTTCTCCTTCGCCTGCCAGAAGTGCTTTTCTCTTTCGTCTCCTTTTTCTTTTTCTTTTTTCTATCAGCGGCTCAAAGGATTTAATGACTGACTTGCTGAGAGTGCCAGCAGAACATCAACATGGCGACAAGCCGCGGGGTTGCACCTCGTCTGCCATCCTGACCGTCCTGGCCATCACCGCTCAATCCCACCATGCATTTCCACCGCTCATTATTGGCTTCTTGCCTCCTCTGCCGCATGAACACGTCAACGGGCCCGAGGTAGTTAGACGATGGTGAAAGGCATCTCTGGCTCCATTGCCAGGACTGTCCGGCTGTCAGAGAGCCGCATTTGCTGCTACCCTTTCGGGCGATTGACGACGAGATCCCTGCCCCACTTGCGGAATGATTCTTGTTCTGCATTCATTCTTTTGTGCGAATGATCTCGACCCTCTTCTCTATTTTACTTCTCCTTGTGTGCGTCCCAAGGGTAAATGGGACCTTCTTGCCCTCTCACTCCTCAGAGCTGGACCAGTTGCAGATTCTCCTTCGGTCTGCGTCCGTTGCCTGGTGAGACTTCAGTCTAAACATGCTCCCGAGGGCTGATCCCGCTGATAAGACGTCCCTTCCTGACCCCATCGTTGTAGTTTACTGAGTTGTCTCTCCCTGCCCCTCCCCGGCTCCCGTCTGGCCCTATCCCGTGGTCCCTTATTTCATGCATTTTTATTTCCGGTCTTCCATATAATTGAAGACCCCCCACGGCCCTCTGCGTGCTTGACTGCGCTGGTTATTCCTTGCCGCTACCTTTCCCCCATACTTCACACTCACTACACAACCGTTGTACTGTAACCTTCATCACCATCCGCGGTGCTCAAGGACGGAACTGTATCTATATATGCATGGCACACCATAGGTGACCTTCACTATGTCTTTGCACGATTCTTACAAGACAGCGGAGGCTGTAGCTGAAGGATTTCGTTCTTTCAGCAATCTCCTGCCGGAACATGACACGGAGATCACCAGCCTCGTCGTCGACCTCTTTTCGATCAGCCTCTTTCTCAAAGGCCTGGAGGGCATGGCAAGGAATCGGGCTTACCGCTACAGGCTATCCGCTATCCATCCTGATCTGGAATTGGTCCGTGCTAGCTTGAACTATACCCTTGAGGACGTGCTGGACTTCTTCGATGATTTGGAGTCACGGAGAGGCGACCCCAGCGAGGCGTACAAGCAATTATGGGTGGAAATCTGCGCTCATTTTATGGAGGAATCCCAGGAATCTTTGTCCACTCGGTTAGCCAAGTACAAATCGTTTTTGAGGGACTTGAGTGAAATTATGAAAGGGTGCGTAAGCCAGTCCCTTCTTTATTGTGGCCCGGATCGACTAACTTTTGAGTATTATGTAGTGAAGCAACTGATACTCGTCTGATGGCTTCGCTTCGCAGCAATCTCAAAGGGCTACTGGTCCATCAGGATAGCCGACTTGCACCGCGTTTGGGTTCTATGTCACTGAGTTCGCCTTCCTCTAGCAGCAGTAGCAGCAGCAGCAGCAATGGTAGCAATGCTGATCCAGGAAGTCCGGTCAATGCGCGTAGACCTCGCGGACGCAGGTCGTACGAGCGAGCACGGCCTTCTCATTCCTCACCTCAGTCGCCTACATCCACATCATCAGCCACGTTCTCTGACATTCCACCCTCTGTGCCCTCAGCACCGGACTCTCCAACTACTAGCACCACCGCGACTAGCCAGTCAATGGACTCAACCCCTGTCAGTGACCACTGGGCCAGACGGGTGTTTTTGGATGAGCACCCCATGACCCCAATTCCTTACGTGGGTGAAAGGTGGAATTAGCCAGACTGAGTTGGGTACAACAGATAGCTGACATTCGACTAGCTCCAAATGCCTCGGAGAGGTGAAAGGTAATGTGAAAGGGTGGCTTCATGATGAAGGATTCGAGGAGCTATTTCAACTGTGAGCTCATCCAATGCTAGATATCGAATTAAGCTGACTGTATTTCAGTGCTTTTAGTGGTGACTCGGATCTCCGTGTCTGCTTCTATCTACGGGAAGATGACCATCGCGTACGGATTGTGTGCAAATCCCGGCGTACCTCTCGGTCCAGTGATTACTCTTGTCTACCCTTGAATCTGCTAGAGATCGTTCGTATTGGTTCCTGCTTGCAAATATGTCGACGGCGTCGCGGGGGCTCTGAACTAGTGCTGTGGGCTAATCTTAAGTTTAGCACTATTGAGCGTATGTTACCCAAACTTGTTACACAGAGAGCCGGAAAGCCAGAGGCTAACATATCATAACATAGAGATGGTGATCTTTTTCTGCACGTTCTTAGCGCTACGGTCGCAGGACTCTGGTCGGCCTGTGGAACGCATTCGTGATTACGAACTTGACGACGAGGAAGAACATTTCGGAGGGTAGGGGACCGTCATGGCATGCTGCTGATGGAGACTGACTGTTCTAGGCAAATCGTCGATGATGACTTCCTCCACGCCTTACGTGTGTACCGAGATAACGTGTCGGGAGCCGTGCGTCTGCAGGCATCAGTCCACAAGGGCGAGATGAAACGGTAAGAGAGACGACAATCCCACGGACTACCATTACTAATTGGGCAGCTTACATAGGATGCCCGTTTGGACAGCCTTCATAACGGAACATATCGGCTCCAGAGGATGGATACGCCGCGTGGACACCAAGACCATCTTACTGCGTGACCTTCGTCGGGTCATTTTCACCTTCCCCAGTTATAATCCACCTCGGACACCCAAAGGAGAGCATATCTTGAAGTTCACAAACAAGTCAGGTATGGGCAGTAGCTGCCTTTGTAAAAGTCTTAGATGCTGATTGGTATTAGATGCTCAAGGCTTCATGGACACAATCGCCGAACTCGCCCACCTATAACACTACGAAAAACAATGTTTGCGATATCTAGCATGTTCTGTATCAGTTATGGCAAGGAACAGGAAACAGTCCTGACTCGCCAGTACATATAGCAATCACGACAAATGAGTTACGATTTACGATGGAATGAGCCATATGATGACGGTTGTTACTGGATTGTTGTTTCTGATGATTGTACGTTTTCACTGCACATAAAGCTGCCTTATCAGGCAATGATACCCTCCGTCCCTCAAAGGCGAGATGCATGTACCATGGATTGTTGAAACCAAATGAATTCATTAGCATAATATATCATCAATAGGGTATCATAGAACATAATCAAGCAGCTAAAATGCAAATATAAAGCGTCAACCTCTATCCACTGCCCCCTGCCAGTAGACCCGCGTCTCCCAGACCGGCGAGGAACATCTCCGCGCGTCGTTTAGCCCTCAGTTCATCGACCTTCTTCCTCCGTTCATCCCTTAACCGCTCGCGCTCCGCACGTCTTTCCCGCCTGGCGTCTCGCTCCCGCTGCGTTTCCTCCCGCGCATTCAGCAACTCTTCCATCTGCTGTCTCCGTACATTCTCATCCTTCGAGAAAGCATAGAACCCCGTACCCCGATTCCGCACCTCCGCATCAGCATCATAATGCATCTCCTCCGGCGGCGTAGCCGACCGATCCCTCCGCGCAGCCAGATCCGACATCCGTGACGCAACCGCCGCATCTGGATTAAATGCCTCCGCCTGCACCGTCGCCCCATAGATCAAATTATCTGGGCGCGCCGGACGCCACCTCTCTGTATTTCCTCCTCGCCCTTCCCCTTCCTCCGCTTTAAGCGCCGCCGCACGCGCCGCCTCTGCTCGAGGTCCGCGCCGTGACCGGCCGAGTTCATCTTCGTAGGAAACAATCGACGCATTATCATCATTGTCTTCTCCTTCATCTTCATCCTCCTCATCATCTTCACGGTCATCCTTTCTCCACTTCTGATCAAAATCCACTAACCCTTCCCTCTCCTTGCGCCGCAACCGAGCCAGATACGCATCCCCCGGTCCAACGTCATCCTCCTCATCATCACTCTCTCCACCGGCTAGATATAGTCCCCGCGACATGTCTTCGTACATCCGAACCTTCTCCTCCATCCGCCGTTTGGACCGGTGTAGCGTGGCGGCGTCCACGGCCCCGATGTCCTGCGTGCGCTGGTGCGCCTGCTGCAGAGCGGCGTTGTCATCGTCGCGGAGGTCAGCAGCGGCACGTTTCTGTGCGCCTTTGTTGGGGCGACTGAAGATGTCGGATTTGGGAGCTTTAGAGGGTCGTGGGCGGCCGGTGCCGCGAGTTGATGAGGAGTCGGTGCTGTCTTTGGCGATTAAGGAGGAGAGGGTGCTGGTGAAGGCGAGGGTGGAGGCGGAGGGGGCTTCGGACTGTGTCGATTTTTTCGTTCGTGGTTGTCCGTATAGAGATGGATTGGACATGGTGGATACGCTTCTGTGACTGAATGATGTGTTGTTGGAAAATGTAGGATGTCCCTGGTGGGTAGCTATACCTTGGAGACTTGAAAGATAGTTACTAACTAAACTAGGAGCTGAGATGGGTCCGATATAGGACGATGACTAAGCCGATCTAGGATGGCCCCGCGCACCCCTCCGACTCATCTTTCCCCTCCTCTTGCTCCTCTTCTTCGTTCAATTGTCTCTGTGTGTGAAGTATAGCGCTTTACTTGTCCAAATCAACTGAATATGTCTGCCCCTGTCTTCCTCGGTATCATTGGTAAGTTCCGCAACTTCCCCAAACAGCGCTGCAGTAGCACCCAGCCCAGCATTGCGAGAATCACCACCACCACCACCATAACTACAACTGCAAATATTCAATTAAACTAACAACCAACACCAGGCGTCGGCGGCGTCGGCACTGCCTTCCTGCACCAGCTCGCCCGCCTGCCCAACGCCCCCAAGCTCATCCTCCTCGCCCGCTCCACCCAAACCCTCCTCTCCCCGACCCCCTCCTACAGCCCCAGCATCCCCGCCGCGGAATGGAAGACCGCCAGCGCAACCCCCTCCCTGACCAAGTCCGGCGCCCTCTCCGCTGAAGAAATCGCCAACTACCTCTCCTCCGCGCCCGGCCGCTCCATCCTCGTCGATAACACCAGCGACCCCGCCCTCGCCGCCTCCTACCCCATCTTCCTGCGCAAGGGCATCTCCATCGTCACCCCCAACAAGAAGGGTTTCTCCTCCGACCTGTCCCTCTGGAAGGACATCTTCGCTTCCGCCGCCCAGGGCAACGCCCTTGTCTACCATGAGAGTACCGTCGGTGCTGGTCTGCCTGTTATCTCTACGCTGCGGGATCTGGTTGCCACTGGTGACGAGGTGACGCGCATCGAGGGTGTGTTTTCGGGTACGCTTTCTTTCTTGTTCAACACTTTTGCGCCGGTTGGTGGAGCTGGTGCTGGACGGAAGTGGAGTGAGGTTGTGGCTGAGGCGAAGGAGTTGGGTTACACTGAGCCTGATCCGAGAGATGATCTGAATGGTATGGATGTTGCGAGAAAGTTGACTATCCTGGCACGTATTGCTGGGTTGGAGGTCCAGGCTCCTGATGCGTTCCCCGTTGAGTCGTTGATTCCCGAGGAGTTGAGGGGATTGGATGGCTCTGCGGAGGGTGTTAAGACTTTCATGGAGAGGTTGGCCGAGTTTGATGGCCAGATGACGGAGATTAAGGAGAGTGCCGAGAAGGAGGGTAAGGTTGTTCGGTACGTGGGTAGTGTGGATGTTGGCAAGAAGGAGGTGCGTGTTGGATTGCAGCGCTTCGATAAGGATAGTGCCATTGCTGGCCTGAAGGGCAGTGACAACATCATTAGCTTCTATACTAAGCGGTATGGAAGCAACCCGCTCATTGTGCAGGGTGCTGGTGCTGGTGGTGATGTTACTGCTATGGGTGTGTCGGCCGATTTGATCAAGGTCGTGCAGAGACTGCAGTAGACCTTTCACATCTCTTATTCGGAGATGGGTCTAGAGTATAGAACAGGATATGTCCCTCAAAATTAAAACATGACATGATACCAAGTGTATACTACGCCCTCAAATACTCCTTAACCGCCTCCCCCCACACAGGACCCCTCTTATAGCGATGGATCTCAGGCACATTCCCTTCTTTCAACCCATCGATCGCCAACGCCAATTCCTCGCCCAGCCCTTCCTCCTTGACCTCCCGAATCGGGTACGTATACGTGTGAAAAGTGAACACCAGCGCCTTGGTCTTCGGTAACCGATGCAAGGTCTGACGTTCACACCGAAGGAGTGTCTACACATAGTCAGTATACGTTCCAGACCCCCAAAAGAAAACAGAAAACGGAGAGAACCAAAAAAAAAGGGAAATACAAGCATGACATACCACATCCCCATCCACTTCCTCCACTCCCAAGACTTTCTCCCTCTCCCCCTCATGCCCATGCAATCCCCCAAACGCAGCAAACAGCCCCGTCCCCTGGGTATTAATACTCCAGTTCACGCGCTGCACGACCTTCCCAACCTCAAGTCTCGCAAAGAACCGATCCATGCTTTTCTCCAGCCGCTCTTTGTACTGCGGCACGGGGTCGTGGATCGTCGACAGCCGCTTGCCGAGCTTTTCGCGCGTGTCGAAGCCGGCGGGGTAGAAGGTTGTGTATGCTTCTAGTGTATATTTCTTCTCTTCTTCTTGGTTTTCCTTGGGTTGAGGGGATGAATCAGGAAGTAAAACGAGAAAGTCCTCGTCGACGAATGTCCCCAGGGTAGAGAGGATATCTCGGCCGGAGCCGGTGTGGGGGAGGGGGATGCGGGTGTTGGTTACTTTGTTCAATAGGGTTTTGGTAGGACTGTTCTTCTTCTTGTTGGTGGTGGTGGTGTGATCTTGGGGCTGGATCGTCTCAAGTGTAAACATGCTTGGGTAACGGGTGGGAAGGTATACGCCTACAATGAAGTCGTAGAGTTCGGTGATGGCGGCGTAGACGGGACTATCTGGTTTCTGGCCTGCTGAAGTGACGCCTACCACGATGGTGGGGTATTGGGCGAGGAGGGATTGGCGGAGGGAGAGACGGTCTTTGTAGGTTTTGTCCATGGGGATGAGATGGGATATGTCGGTTGTTGTTAGGGCTGGGTTTTGCTTTTGTTAGTTGATGTTGTCTGTCTGGGTGGCTTCGATGGGAAGGGGCATAGGATGCCTACCCATGCTGAGGTGGTACTTTGGCTTGAAGGGACGGTATTTGATAGGTTCCGTGGTCTCCCAGTTGAAGGATGGGAGGGGAATGATTGGAGGGTAGGTATCTTCTTCATCTTTAGGAATGACTGGAGATGATTGCTGCGCATATTGTTAGTCGATTGCGTGCACTGGTAGACAGAAGTAGACTTACTCGATTCCACAATCCGAATAACCACAGTGCAAGGACAAGGAAAACTACGACAATAGGGTTGTTTTGGATATAGAAAATCCAATCTTCTATGGTCATGTCCATATTGATGGTGGTTGAGGTCGGTGTGAACTGTCAAAGACAAGCGAATGAGGGGGGTCTTTAGCTCTTGTACATCTCAGTTATCAGTATACTAATACTGCATGTAGTGCATGCAGCGTATCTTGATCCGCGATTGGCTGATACGCCCGTCCATCGCCGATTGCTCGAATCCCCGACTCGGCGGGAGTTGATAGCTGCTTGATAGAAGGGATGGATGGCATGGCGGTTGGAGATAGCGGATGCGGGGAAGAGTTCCCCATTCCGGCGATGGCTCACGAGGTCGTATTGGAAATGGTATTACATCAATGATGATCCATGACCGGGTATGCTCTCTCCTCGGTTGACCTTGTGAAGATAATGGATGTATTATGTCTGATAAGACAGTTATTTGGCGAGAGATGTGCCTCAGAGTGTTTCCTGCAACTTGTATTGAAGCTCTTGGTTATGACTTGGTCAGCATCAGGACTTGGTATGATCTGATATGATGTTATCGTGGCCATTTGGGGAGGCAGATACTTTCACTATCCCTAATGTGTTATGCTGCTAGCTTTGGATTGCTTAAATTAGGTGAGTTGTATAGAAGGATGATAAGTATGCAAGGATAGAAATGACCGAGCAACGCAACAGAAGACCAGCTGATTGAGAATTTAGGGAATTGACCAGCAAGATTCCGATAACGGTAACAATTTGGTATGTTAAGCAAACATCTCTACTGCCAGTACTAAGTTGTCTGAAGCAGGAGAGATATAAGCCGGGTAGAAAATAAGATCACACGGTATACAAACCTTGAACAAGAACATAAAGTAAACCGTCATCAATTGAGCAAGGCAGGCAGGTTGGTGTCTCGGCAAGCCACTCAACAAGAAACCAACCATTAAAATTGAGAAGACAAAAAAGCAACAACCTAATATAGGTACAGGGGTATTAAAAATGCCACATTAACAAAATCTCAAACGCACGCCTCAAGTAAAATGCACCAGATCAGTCATCAAAGGCAGGAGATATGGTATGTGCCCTCACCAGGAGGTTTCACCATCAATATCCCATACCGTTATACCTCACTCGCATCCCCAATTATAACCACCACCCCAGGTATCAATTCCCACCACGAACACCACCATCAACCTCCACCTGAGCAACCACCCTCCTCGTCACCCCTTCCAGCCCCTTCTCCCGGCCATTATCACCACCTCCGCCACTACTTGTATTCGCACTCAGCCCCACCAATACCCGAGGCTGTCCACCCGGCCGCTCATTCAAGCTCGGCGCCCTTGGCCGCTGCTTCCCGCGAGCTCGACCCCCCACGACCGGTAACTCGAACGTCAACATGCGGCCCGTGTACAAACATATATCGAAGATGAGAAGCGCCGCCCAGGGAAATATAGTCACGAAGCCGAGGAATATCTGCTCATGCGATATCATTTAGTTAGTTTGCTTGCTTTCTTCTTTTCTTCCTCAGGGTACCCCGAGCGGGGGAGGGGAGGGGGAACGGACGAAGATGTGCACGACCGAGCTTTCGATGTAGGAGAGGGTAGGCGGAAGGAGAGAGTACCACGCCATCATTGGGGTGGTTTTATCGTATGTTGACAGGGTGTAGTAGATAGTGGTATAGGTTGGAAGCAAAGTACTAGGTAGGTGGGTTGGAGTATTGTGGTATTTGCATCGGTATCAGTGTGGCGGTCAGAGGTGGTGCAGTGTCCTGCGGGATGCAGGGGGAACGTTCTTTCGCTCGTAGAGATGGTTATGATAAATGAAAGGATGTGGTGGGTTACGCTGCTGCGCTGGCAGGAAGGATCATGTAGATATACTGTGGATGCTGGCAAGCCCGGCTTGGTCCCCGGAGATCCGGCGATAGGGCGGGCAGGCAGAAAAGGCGGGCAAGCGGTGGTGTGATGCAAGGTAGGTAAATAACGAACGAATGTCGGATTTTCGTGTGCGGAGAAGAGAAATGACAGGCGGTGGCATCACCGGAGGCGACGAGGCTTGGACACAACC